TGGAATAAGTTGAGAGAGAAAAACCTCGTTATCGTGCTTCTTGTCTGGCCTCACATAGAGTGAGGCCTAGTTTGGATCTAAGGACTGCTACCATACATTCGAGCTTATAGGCAAGGCAGTTCCTATAAAATACATTTGAACGGTCATGACCAGCTGGGGCATATAGAAGGGAGTGGGCTGTGGAGCGACAGTGTTTGGCTGGGTGGCTAAAATGCCAACATTTCTGATATTGACAAGGAAGGGGTCGCTGTGGTCGGACATGGTAGGACAATCCATCAACATAAACTTCAAGGGGGAGGTCATGTCTATAGAAGCTAATCTTAGCGTGGGACTTATGCTGGCCTTTGGGAGGAATAGTACTGCTACTGCATCATTATCATCAAGGCAGGTAAGTTGGTAATTTTCATAGTCTGACCAGTTCTTCTTGTAGATAGGACAAGCATTTGAGGGAATAGAAACAGTTCCCGTATAAGTATTAAGAGAGGGGTGAGGCTTAGCAGGAATGGGTTTGCCAGTGAGGTCAGTTAAGGTAGATAGTGCACATGACTGAGATTCAGATGTAACTGTGACAAGGTATGAAAGATCGGAGCGACTGCGAACGGTAATCTTGCCTACTTGTTTTTAGATGCATTGTTGAAAGAGAAGGGGGCTGTGGGGGGAATCACAAAGAATTGATCCCACTACACTGGGCCAAAAAGAGTACTCAAAAGGTTTGCAGAGGTAGAGGCAGTAGGAGGAAGAGGGAAAGAGGAAGATGGGATGATGTGGAGTGGAGTAGTTTTGTGGGGGGGAGGAAAATAATGATGAAGAATAGTAATAAGGGAAGAGAAGGTAGACACTGAAAAGGGTTGTGCAGTAGATGGAGAAGAGAATGTTGGGAGAGAGGAAGGGGGGCTTTCTGGAGGTTGAGTAATAACCTGGGTGGGTGTTTTGGAATGGTTAGAGTTGTCAGTAAGCAATGAGGACAGGGTATTAGTATCAGTGGTCTGAGCCATGGTCAAAGGAGGGGCAGGGTAAAAAAAAAAAACATCAAAATTAAATTTAGATAGGCTAGTTGATGAATGGGCAAGCCTTAATACCCCTATCCCCTATTAAGGTCAAAGAATCTTCATTATTGGCCATGGTGAGCTTGAATAAAATGGGGAAAAGAGAAAAGTGTACCCCTCAGGGTCCCATACGGGTAAGGCACGGCAAGGAATACCGTGCCCATGGCTCCTGGAAGCCGATCATGACTGACACAAAGCCAGCTTTTCATCCTTTCAGCACGGCTCTCACACCCTAGAAATGGGATAGAAAGGGATAAAGAAGAGGAAAGGGGAGAAGAAAAGACCAAGTAAAATTAGTTGGGCCTCAGTCTTCGTCTCCTAAGCCCTCCCATGACAGCAACAAACAAGGTATTGGGAGGGTAACTGGTTGTGTTAGGCATAAATTTCTTTCTCATGAATCCAAACAAATTTCATCTTTTAAATACATAAATTGTTATGATTCAAATAAAAAAGTTTTATGCAGGAAGAGAAAGGGATAGCTTGATAGGTTTACATCTAAAGAAAAGAAAGATTTCCTTTATTGGTGGAAGTAATGGCAATGAAAAGTATGCAAGGCCGTTAAAGCAGCCTGAATGGTCTGCTGGCAATTACTCAGGCTGCAAGGTAACCAAGGCATTTCCCTATGTCATGCACTCTCTTCACCAGTACCAGTGACCTATGAGATCTGAATGAATAGAATAAATGATTACAGAGATCAGCATTAGAAAACAAAACTAAGTCTATATTGTATCTTAGTTGTGAGCACTAGAGACAAAACTGTCTAAATTGCACCTAGTTGGAGACAGTACAGTTATAAGGGAGATATAGTGGTTTTAAGGATGAATGATTAGAAAAAAAGAAACTAGATATCTCAAAACAGAGCTAAAACATGTGAACAACCTTTATTTTTGACAACTAATGCTGATCAACATGTGGAACTACTAAAGGGAAGTTGGATCATTTGTGCTGATATTTTAACTTTGTAAAGAAATACCAGTTCCAGTTTAAGAAAGAACCATAAACTTACAGCTCCAGGGAGGAGCAATTTCCATGCTCAGGATCCTATTCCTGCCCACCATGCAAGTAATGGTGCAGGTTGTATTGCAGAAAACTAATTAGTATGAAAAAATTAAAATGACAGAAATAACAAAATGTTATTTGTTATTATTATTGCACTGAGATATGGACTACTTAATGAGATGAAATAGTCTGTACAAGGAGACCAGTCTGTTACCATCTAGATAAAGCAAATCATATAACAAATATTGGAAAATGGCATAAAATCTAAAAATACTTATTCAGAAAAAGAGAAAATAACAATGCAAAAGGGTGGCATGGAGTCTTGTCACAAAACACAAGGGTTTGTTTGCACCCAGCCTACCAGCTGCACACCTGTCAGTGTCTGCCCACGCAAGCCCCATATTTTGGGCCACATGACGACATTGATCAGATGAAGGTGGAATGGAAAAAAAGGAAAATAGCATACAGGAGTTTTGAGATCAGAAAGAAGAGTAGACCCTATGAACACTGTCTGCATCCCAGTGAACATTGCCCATTTTCATTCCATTTCCAAATCACATCATTAACATTTTGATTTTCTACTTAGTTGTTGTTATCCAATATGTATTCTCACTTATCTTTCCTTTAGTACATTTCAGTATTATGAGCAATGAACTTATGATATTTTTTTCCTAGAAGGATTTTAGCTATTTTTATTGGTGTTGAAAGCTCTTCTTAATAACTGATGCAAAAATTATCATGATTTTAGATTAGTTGTGGAGTGAAACAAACAGTAATGAATCATCTTAACAATATCACTCTATGTATGGTATAAAACTAGTAGCTTATTCAAATGGTAGCAGCAGTATTGTATATTAACACCAAAAATTGGGAGAATTATGTTGCCATGCGAAATACAGCAACTAATGTTTATAAGGAGGCTAAATCTGAATATGATGCTCACTTGAAAGAAGTTCTCTCACAAGCCTCACAGCCGCATAAATGGTGGTCAACACTAAAAACATCTCTGTTTGGTCTTGAGTCTTCCATTCCTCCTTTAATGAAACCTGATGGTAGTGTTACGTATAGTCCATTTGAGAAAGCTACCTTGTTAGCAGATTGTTTTATTTCAAAACAAAGTTTAGAAGATATTGAACTTCCTCCTTCATGTCACCCATTGCCATGCTTTAATTCATTTGCTTTCAGGTCCTCTGAAATCAAGTATCTGTTATCTGAACTAGATGAATATGGTGGAGTAGACCCTAATGGCTTGTTTCCTTTGATTTTAAAAACTAAATGGCCAATTAGCTCCTAAATTAGCCGTAATCTTACGCCTTTTAGTTCGTAAAGGGTCATTTCCGATTGCTGGCGCTTTGGTAATGTTACCCCTATTCCCAAGGGCCCACTACAGTCTTCACCTACTGAATATAGGCCCATTTCAATTACACCAATTTTATCCAAGGTTTTTGAACGTTTGCTGGTCAAACGTCTTTCTGTACATTTGAGACCGTTTCTTCCAGAGACTCAGTTTGGTTTTAGAAAGGGACTCGGCTGCAATGATGCACTGCTTATGTTGGTGCATGAAATGCAGTCTGCTTTAGATAAGGGTCATGAGTCAAGACTTGTCTCGCTGGATTTTAGTGCAGCTTTTGACACTGTTAATCACAAGGGTTTAATTTTTAAGTTACAGTCTTTTGGTGTAGGTGGTAAAGTTTTAAGTATTTTAACTGAATTTTTAACTGGTAGGCAGCAGCGTGTTCATGTTGATGGTAGTTTTAGCTCGTATTCTCATGTATCTTCTGGGGTTCCTCAGGGTAGTGTTCTTGGCCCTTTGCTCTTTATCATGTATACAAGCGATATGTGGTCTGGCATTACTAATAAAATGTTGGCATATGCTGATGATACTTCTCTCTATGCTGATATTCCTTCTCCGGCAACTAGGCAAATAGTAGCTGACAGTCTCACTGTAGACCTGATGATGATTCAATCGTGGTGCTCTCGGTGGGGCATGAAATTAAATCCTACTAAGTCTAAAGAAATGATTGTGAGTCGGTCTCGAACGCAGTTGCCTCAGCATCCAAGTCTGCTGATTAATGGAGTCTTAATCACTTCGGTGGATAACTTGAAGCTCTTAGGTGTAACCTTTGATTCAAAGCTTACATTTGAATTGCATATTAGGAATATGGCCCGGGCAATTTCATCAAAGTTAGGCATCATTCGCAAGTGCAAGAAAATCTATGAAGATGACATTACACGTAGGTGCTTCTTTTCTTTTATTCTGCCTCATTTTGAGTATTGTTCTTCTGTGTGGTTATCTGCTGCAGACTCACACTTAAGACTGCTTGATCGTTCTTTTAATTCCATTAAATTTCTCCTGTCTGACTTAAATTTGGACATTGGACATCGTAGAGTTATTGGGGCTCTTTCAGTTTTATACAAGATTGTAACCGATAATTCACATCCCCTCTATAAGTTTTTACCTGATTTTTATCAACCTGCAAGAATTACCAGAAGTTCTATGACCCTCAATTCAATGACATTTGATGTAAGTCGATCGTCTACAAGTCAGTTTTCTAGATGCTTTTTTACTGCTATTTGTAGACTTTGGAATAGATTGCCTTCAGAGATTGTAACTTCTTCGACTCTTGATAAATTTAAAACGTCAGCTAACATGTTTTTCTTACGTAATTAGCTGACTTTCTTTTATTCATTCTTTCTTAGCTGTATCTTGACCTGCACTGACACCTTTGGTGGTATAAATCTCGATTTTTTCAGTGTGGCTCATTATATAGCTTAATATAATAATAATAATAATAATAATAATAATAATAAATAATTTCATAGAACTACAAAATCACAGACACTATTTTTTCATTGCCATATCATGTTAATGGCGGCCATAAATCAGGACCAAAAGAGCTTTGGTTATATCACTTCCTTTTGAGAAAACAGAGGAAAAAGGTAGGAAAAAACTTAAGCATTTCAACATCTTTAATATTCAAAACATTATGCACCTTGCATTTAAATACAAAACTGGTACAGTAATATGTTGTCAAATTAATATGAAAAAAAAGGAAACAATGGAAATTATATGAAATTATAAAAGCACTTTGCTTGAATTACCTCAAGCTAAACTGGTGTTTTAATAAATGAAAAATGTATTTAAGAAAATAATAATATTCATTGATAAATAAAAACTTCACTTAGTGCCCCTTACAACAGAAAAAACACAAAACAAAAGCCATTGCTTATTTCATCAAAATTGAACATTAACTACATCATACCTTAATGATTATTTCATATACATCTCAGTCTCTCCTTTTGGAGTCTGCTGCTCTAGAGAGATCATCCACCTTTTGGGAAAGTAATGCAGAGTTTTGGTCAACCCATTTTAAGGTGTCCATATGTGCTGACAGCACTCTGGCAATTGTTGTAACTGGGTCAGAAGCTTGTGAGGAGGAGTTGTTGTTGTTCAAATGTTCAATAACCTTACACAAGTCATCTGTCATCTGGCGAAGCTGGGAGTCAAGGTTCTGAAAAGAAAAAGACACCACCAACCATTATTTCTCAGGAAGATAAATAATCAAGAAAGCCTTTTCACTTATTTTAGTACTAATGTATAAATAAAACCCATGCCTCTATATGCCTATATTATATCAATTCTTTTCTTTAAATCTATTCAAGACTCAAGCCAACTGTTCTGCAGACAACTGCAAATGGGACATTGTGTATCAGTAAGTTCTTTAACACATTGCTGCCAGGTATATGTACTGTCTACTGAATTTTGTTAGCACATAGATGGCTCCACAAACACTCAACCACCAAGGATCCAATAAATATACCTTCAGGACCTCATCTTGACCCCCCATTTTTTTCTGACTGATATCAATATTGATATTATTATTACTGGCATTATGAGGTGTGATAGGTACGACTAGTAACTGACTCATGGGTGATTAAGCAGTTGTGGAGCCATCTATTTGTAAAGGCAATTAATAAACAATAGAAACACAGTAGACATGGCTTGTATTCTTTCCATTCCCACATCAATGGGTTAACAGAAACTAATTAGCAGCTTCACTGTATTACAGCTCTTCATATTTGCTCCTAAAGCTTTTTGGACAGGGTTTAGAGCACAAGTAGTGGTTGTGTGGATAAGGACAGCTTTTTCCCATTAGGCTTCCTGAACAAGGATTTAGTCAAGAGTGTCTCACAACATTTGCCTCCTCCACTTGTTCCTTTCAGTGATATCTCAATACAAAGTTGAGATTAATTAATTTATTCATTACTATTATTATTACAATTATTACTAATATTGTTACCATTATCATCATTATTACTTTATCATTTATTATTATTACTTTTTTACTATTGCAACCTTCATATAACTGAAAGGTGGGATACAAGTCACTGAACATGATACACTAAACAAAAACAAAATTAAAACTTGTGCAACAATTTTTGCACCTAATAGATGAATATATAAGCTAATACACACACTGTAAAACAGATTCAGTTTATTATATACTTTTCATAACCAAAAAGATAGATTGTGTAAGTTGTGGAAAATGTTATGCAGAGAAAGAAAATTAAAGTGTGTGTTTCTGATCAAATAAAGCTACAGTGATTTTATTACATATGCTCTTTATCAATGTATAAGCTAATAAGGACAACATACTACAAATTCAGTAAATTGCAACCTCATTATAACTGAAAAATATAATGTACAAGTCACAGAACCTGATATGATGCAATAAAATTAGAAATTTGTATTTCTTTACATAAAAAATGCTGAGCTTTTACACCCCCCAAAAAAGAAAGAGAGAGAGAGAGAGAGAGAGAGAAAGAGAGAGAGGAGAGAGAGAGAGAGAGGAGAGA